TGTTGTTGTTGATGTTAGAGAGATGGATAGGAAGGTATTTGTTGTGTCATCTGGACAGAGAAAAGATAAGGAAAACCTTGAGGTGGAATAGTGAAGTGCAGGAAGCTATTCAGAGAAAGACATTGGCCAAGAAGAAATATGACAGTGATAGGATTGAAAAGTGTAGACAGGAATATGAGCAGAAACAACATAGAGCAAAGACGGAGGTAACACAGAAGATGTATGATGAGTTATATTGGGAGGCTAGACACTAACAAGGACGAGAAGGACTTGTGCTGATTGGTGAGACAGAGGGATCAAGCTGGAAAGGATGTGCTAGGCTAGGTTAGGCTTGTAGAAGATAGGAATGACAATGTTCTAACAAGTGAGGAGACTGTGATAGGAAGATGGAAGGAGTACTTTAAGGAGTTAACAAATTAAGAGAATGAAATGGAAAAAAGAGTAGAGGTGATAGAAGCTGTGGACCAGGAAGAGGGAAAGATTAGTGAGGGTGAAGTCCAAAAAGCTCTGAAAAGAATGATGATGATGACATAGAGTAGAGGTTTGGAAATGTCTTGAAGAGATGGCAGTGAGGTTTTTGACTCAAATATTCAATGGCATATTTGAAGGTGAGAAAATATCTGAGTAATGGCGAAGAAGTGTGCTGGTGCCCATTTTTAAGAACAAGGGTGATGTACAGAGTTGTAGCAGCTACAGGGGAATTAAGGTGATGAGTCATACAATGAAGATCTGGGAAAGAGTTGTGGAAGATAGACTTAGACGAGATGTGACTGTGAGCAGCAGTATGATTTCATGCAGAGAAAGAGCACCACAGATGACATCTTTGCTTTGAGGATGCTGATGGATAAGTACAGAGAAGGTCAGAAAGAACTCTACTGTGTCTTTGTGGATTTAGAAAAAGCATAGGACAGGCTGCCGAGGGAGAAGGTGTGGTATTGATGAGAAAATCTGGAGTGGCAGAGAAGTATGTTAGACTGGTACAGGACATGTATGAGGACAGCAGGACAGTGGTGAGATGTGCTGTAGGAGTGACCGATAGCTTCAAAGTGGAGGTGGGATTGCATCAAGGATCGGCTCTGAGCCCCTTCTTGTTTGCTCTGGTGATGGACCGACTAACAGATGAGGTCAGACAGGAATCCCCGTGGACTATGATGTTTGCAGATGACATTGTGATATGTGGTGAGATCAGGGAACAGGTGAAAGAGAACTTGGAGAGGTGGAGGTATGCACTTGAAAAAGAATTGGAGGTGGCAGAAATGAAGATGTTGAAGTTCTCCTTAGAAGTGCCAAGAACGGATAAGATTAGGAATGAGATCATCTGATGTACGGTGCAAGTTGAACAACAGGGAGATAAAGTTAGAGAGGCCAGACTGAGATGGTCTAATCATGTCCAGAGGAGGGGCCGTGGGTATATTGGTAAAAGGATGTTAGAAATGAAGTTGCCAGGAGAAAGAAAAAGCGGAAGGACACAGTGAATATATGGATGCAGGTAGAGATGACATGGAGGTTTGTAGTGAGGACAGTGGATGCAGAGGACAGAGAGATGGAGGAGAATGACTCGCTGTGGCGACCCTGAAGAGGGGAAAGATGGAAGAAAAAAAGAAGAACTCATGACACTGAACAATTTCATTGTTAGCTTTTCAGTATCTGTAGTTTTGAAACAATGTACACCTTGTGCAAGTGCTCAAGGCAGTGTTTGTTCACTTAAAGATATATTGTTGTGGAAAGCAGCAGCATTCGACAAAAGAATGTGATGAATTTATGTATTTAATGCGTGATGGCTGGCCAGCCTACAGGGCCAACAAGACTCTGCAAACCAAGGTGCTTTACATCATGGTATCTGCAGGTTTCAGCAAGTCAAATTTGACTTTTTAAGGCTTTTTAATGTCCCCTTGAATTAAATTTAAGAGCAAAAACCAATAAATATAGGCGATGATTAGAGGATCCTGTTGTACTACAACCAAGCATAGCATGTGTGTCACTCAATGAGACACAATCAAATTTAGTTGTCGTCTGTTTATTGAACATAAAGGATATTCAGTGCTCTCTAGTTCAATAGCTCTATATACAAGTGCAGTTATTTTGTTGGAAACATCCAGCAAAAAAGACGTACTGAATACTTTCATGGCATGAGGCTCAATGGTGTCAATCTCCAGTTTTGCCTTTATACACAAAGACGTCGTCCAACCAACTATCCATAAATTTGGACCAACACGATTTAGTTGCAGAATCCCACAAAAAAAAAAAAAAAATTGATATCAAACAGTCCCAGAGATTAAAGCAGAAAAAAAATCTTTAGACTGAGAACTTTCCTACACCTGAGGTAGCATCATCAACAACCCTCCCACCCCCACACATTCGAGAGCTTTTTCCTGCGTACAGGTCACTTCTCAAAGGTTTTCACCTAATGAGGAGTATACTGTGTATATAACCTTAGTAAAGTATAGTGTGTACATGACCTTAAAGTATAAAAATACAGCATGTTTCTTGAAGCCCTTGACAGATTTCTTCTTTTTGATTGTTGGAAACCCTGCCCTGAGTGTTGTCAACTAAACTAGTTTAAGTTGTAGTATCACATTTCTCTTTTGTTGTTTGACAATAAATGCAAATAATAATAATAATAATAATAATAATAATAATAATAATAATAATAATAATAATAATAATAATGTGATTTTAACCAGCTAAAACTGGACACGCAAGAGTTGCACACACAAATGCAGATAGAGCACATTGGGGTTTATTTTTCTCTATCAATATACTTTTTGAAAGGCATTTGTTTGAACTGACCTATAAAGTACATTCCAACTTGCTAAAATTACAAATAAATTGCAATTTTCATATAATCTAAAACTGAAATATTAGGTTTTGTATATACAATAGAATAAAAAAAAGAGTAATAAAACAGAACTGTATTTTACACACCAGTTATTTAACCACTGATAGAATAAAATGATACAATTTGCAATGGGTTCTTATAATAGATTTTGCTTTTATCTTCAGTAACTAACTAAATATGGCACTTTGGGTTTGGACAGCATTCAGTGGGTCCTAAAAGTTTGCCTATAAAAAGCAGTATCCTGGTTCACTCTGTGTC